TTTGCTCTTACATACATCCCATGAAGACTTGTTGACACTCAGAGGGGGGATCTAGAATATTTGTTGGTGAAAAATGTTCACTTTTTCCATTAAATATGCTGCCAAATTCAGTGATGTCATTCCTGCAACTCCACAGAGCATTTAGAAAAACAAGCCCTTGCCCATGATTTAAGGGATAAAACAGAGCAGAATTGAACCTGCACAAGAACTAGCAAATCATGCAGGGAGTCTCCCTAAGAAACAAGGTCTGCAAGAAACAAATCTCTTACTGAAAAACATGTATGAAAAAGACAAATGTTGGAGCTTTAATAATTTTTATTATCTTTAAAGTATAAACATATTTTCTGGTGATTGAAACAAAGTTTATTTCAAATTAAAATCCTGTGCTCAGTGACAGGAAAATCAGGTCCTCTGACAGCTGTATGCAAAGTATAAAGGGGACATACATGCATGCCCAGCAGGACTGTCAGTATTAAGTGTGGGATGGGTTTAGTTTATGACTTTCCCAACATTCTCCAGGTTCAGATGTGCAAACGTTTGTGCACACACACACATATAAATGGATATAGACTTAAAACTCCTTTGGTGATATCTTTTTTCCCCTCTGTTCACAGTGACAGCATAAGCCATGATATTAATTTGCTTTGGGGTTATTGCAAAATGTCTCTAAAAAGAGTCAGCTATTTGAAACCTCTTTTAAAATCATATTGAGCGAGTGATTTTTTTTAATCGGTTGAAAAGATTACAAGAAGTTGTTCTCTCTCGTGCTTTCCAAGAGAATAATTACAGAGAAGCATCTACTTTTCCTTTCAGCTGACTTTTCGGTGGGATTGATCCACGCAGTGAGCTGATCTCTACCCCACGATCACAAGCCCAGGGCTTTTGTTTCTCCTTTTTGAACAATTTCTTATATTCAAGAACAGGGAAACAAAACAAAAAAATGTCTGTGGAGGATGTTTTGTAATTTGTTGCACCTCTAGAAGTATCTCAGAAGGTACATACTCTAGAGGTGGTTCATTTCTGAGAGTACCTAGTAGCCACTGAGCTGATTTTGTACTTTCTAACACTCTTCATCCAGCTAATGATGGTCTGAATGATCCGGTGTTTGGGAGCAGCTGTAGAAATACCCATTTTAGAATATGTTGAGCCTATATGCCTGCAAAGAAAAATTACCTTTGTTTCTGACTTGTTTACTTAAACTTCAAGAAGTAGAAAATGTGCTACATTAATGTTTCTGTCCCTAGAAAATAAAAAAGCAGATTAATTACATTTTTTTATTTAACTCCCAAGCAAGCATTTTCTGATTCATCTCTTTGCCTTTCTTAAATAAACTGATGTTATACAGTAGAATTTTAATATGTTATGGTCTATATTTTCATTACATTATACGGGCTTTTTAAAGAATGGAATATATCAAATTTGACAAAAAATTATCTACTCGTGAGAACTAACATTTAACCAGACATGTTTTTCCCCCATAGCTGTAACATGTCCGGCTTGTTTGCACACAAAACTGTCTTGGTCTGTTTCTAGTAGTCAGGCATCTCCCTTTTTGTTCAGACTTTAGAGAGTTTTAGATAAACCTGCAAGAATGTGCTTTTGCAAATTAAATTTTTTAAAGAAACTCTTTGGTATTCTGGAGTAAATGTATTTATTTACCAGTATGTGCAACGACTGATTTTTGTATTCTCACATAATTTACGTGGTGTGTGTCATAGAGGCTCCGGTGTTTGTGAATACAGAACACTACAGAATTATTTAGCTTGTTTGAAATAACAAGGTCTTTCCCTACCCAAGGTCAGAAACACCTCGATAAATTACTTCCACTGGATATGGAGTTATTTAACATAAGGAGTTTCCAGTGCCATTTAAACTGTATTTTTACAATTTCCTTTGTCAGGAACAATATAGTTTGGGCAATCTTGCATTTGGGCAGGTGTTTGGTCCCAACAGAGAGGAGAGCACTGAGCCAACCCAGGAAGATCACTGAGAAAAAAAGAGAGGTGTCTGTTTGCTCTTTAGGAATAAAAAAAAAAACCCAAAAAACCAAACAAACTGGTGGAGCTCCAAAGCTTAGAAAAGTCACTTGACCAGACCAACCTTTCCAGCTGTGTTTGGGATGCTCAGTCTGTCTGATCTGCTGTTGCATTCGTTTGCTTTGGAATACATGGTCAGTATAAAACCACTGATAAAGAGATGATTTGCTGACTCTTATCTGGTTTCTCTTCCCCAGTGTTTGTGATACGTGAGGTTAGAAACATAGAATTTTATTATTTTTTATTAAAATGTGCAAATAAATATTATTTAAGTAGAAGATTATTGCACTAGATTGTTCTGTATTCTCAAAGGTAAGTTCTTAGCTGGGAAATTAAAAATCCAAGATATGGACACTAATTACTAATGCAAAGAGTTAGGTCATAAACTTCTCAGAGATTTATCTGTTTTCCAAATACCACTTGATAACTAATGTTCTTTAGAGTATTTTTGGGGCCAGCAATGATCTTTTTGCTTTTTTCCTGATCCCATGGAATGCCCGAAACAATCTGTAACCATTCTCAAATGCTCAGGTAGAACGAAGCCCGGGTTTTAAAATCTAGTTTTATCATAATATTTCATTTTAACAATACATGTGATATTTCCTTTAGCTTTAACAAAAAGTTGAAGCCATTTCATTTGCCAGGTGGGAAGCATCACAAGTAAAGGAGCATGAGCTTTTAAAGAGCCTGACTGCTTCCAATGGGCATCCATCTGAGCTTCTGTTACTTTTTCTCAAATTCCCAGCTTTGCTGATGTTCTAACCTATGATTTTGATTTACTTACTTAATCAAAGTTCTCTGAGAATCCTGATTTTGATCAGTTAAGCTCTCCTTCAAATTATGAGTGTTCTCTAGTAGAAGTGAGCAGTTAATAGTTGAGAAAGCTAGAGACGCACGTTTGATGGTCCTTTTCTAAAATTCTCCTTTAAACAGACATTTCTGAATCAGAGAGGGGGAAAGCTGAGGCAAAGGGTGAAAAGGAAATATTCAAACAGGAGGAATCCCAGTTTGAAGGCTGCTGGTGAGCTGCTCCATGGCTACATTCAGAGAGCACTTACTGGTCCCTGGGGAGGGGCTGCCTAGGCCATGGCCACCTCAGGGATGAGCTCTTGAGTCTCTCTGTCACCTTGCTGCAAAGAAACAGGAAGCCTTTAGCCCTGTCACAGGTGTTAAAAGTAGCTCTAACAACTCCTAAAGTGTAAGGGATTAGAGCCCTTGCAAGGCACGTGTAAAAGGGGAGTTCAGCTCCTTTTTTTTTCCATGTAAAAGGGGGGGTTCAAGTCCTTCTTAGTGCTTGAAACAATGGGAAATTGACCTGGCATTGAAAAGGGGACCCCTTTGGCTTTTACAAAGCTGGGAGAAAATGTCTGGTACTTATTCTAGGAGCACACAATAATGCTGTGCCAAGAGGATTGGGCAACTCCCACCTGGAGAACAATGGCCAACACGAGGAGCTCCTGATTGACAGGAATCCACTTTCCCATGGTGGTGTCTGCCCGCTGGATTCCCAGGTTTCGTGGGTTATTGGTGTGTTTGGAACAGTTGCACCTGGAGCTGTGCTGGTGAGGGCAGTTGGTGGCCCAGACCCATAATCCAGGGATACAGATGCTCTGGGGGCTGGGCTGGCATGGAACAGGGTTGGGTGGTGACTCTGGATGTGGCACAGGCCCTTCCTGTGTGTTGCCCTGGCTGTGGTGGGTGGCATTGCCATGGGCACCCTCCCCAGCCCATCCCAGCACCAAGGGCCTGACGTGAGCAGCTCTGTGGGGGTAGCCCCAGGCCAGCACCCCACCTTGACTGGCACCCAGCAGCTGGCTTGCAGATGGTGCAGACCAGGGGAATCCAATTTTTATCATCAAAGCAGAGTGTCCCAGAGGCCCATGGTGGGTGTAGATGCCTGCCCTGTGCTCCTGGGTTGCTGCCTCAGAGTGCCAGAGTTCTGGTGACACCCAGGGAACACTTGTGACAATCCAGGGAAAGGGTGTCAGCCTCTCACTGGGCTGTGCCTGTATCCACAGCAGGGCTCCAGCACATCTCCTGCCATTTCCTTGGAAACAGTGGAGAATGAAGCCAACAAGGGCTTGGATGAACACTGGGGTGAGGCTGAGACTAGACCAGATTGGTCACAGCCCCAGGCAGCCTGACCTGGAATGCTGACAAGGATGGGGCATCCACATTTCCACTGGGCCGCTCGCTCCACCACCACCCCACCCTTGGGACTAGAGGCAGCTCCCTCAGCCTGCCCTTGTGTGCCATGGCCCCAGCTCCTCACCATCTCCAAGGCCTGGGCTGGGCCTATACCCCACACACCAGTACCTTTCCAGGGCTCTCCAGGGAGACCTGGAGGGGAGAGAGGAATCCGTAGACACTCACCAAATCCCAAAAAAAAACAGAGGAAGAAAGAATTTTTGCTGTTATATTTTTTTTGGTTTATTAGTTTGGTTTTTTAAAATTTATTCCCCAGCATTGAAAAGAACTTCCTGTGAAGCAGCTAGAATGGACCTCCATGTGAAGGCTAGCACTTCTTCCTGGCCGAACTGCCATCTGCTGCTTCGCCAAAGAAAAAGCTGTCTACATTCTTGGCTTGGTCTGCTAACATTCTTTATGCAAGGCTGATTTCACTCATCCATCAGTGGTTGTTGTTGCCCTCAGAATGAAGCAACCCCACCTCCAGACCCCAGGAACCTCAGTGTCCCTCTTGGGGATAACTCCTGTCACCTCAGCACAGCAGCCTGGTGAAAGCCAAGTCAATTCATGTCCTTTCCCTGCGGCTCAGAGCAGAGGAGCTCTAGAAAAGGTGGGGTAAGGGATGACAAGGAAGGGCTCATTTAATGCATGGCAATCAACAAATGATTGTTGATGCCAGGAGATGGAATGGGTGAGCCAGGAGGAGAGCCCCATGTGGAGGCTGGGACTCTGTAATAATTCCCTAGCACGTTTGCAAAGAAGAAATTCCTCGGGCTCTGTGCTTTCTTTATGATAACTTTACTCTGTTTAAAAAAAAACTAGTCTCAAATTGTTGATGTTATAGCCTAAAAGACCCCAGGATGTAAGGTGGCACCAGCAAGGCAGGATGCAGGCATAGAACCGGAAAGTTTGTAAAAAGCACCTCCTACTTAAGGGGTCACGGGAGCACAGGTGCTGTTGCCAAAGTACCAAATAAGGAGGATGTGACAGCATTTTCATCCTTGTTGCTTATTTTTCAGTCAGGCCGGTGCGGATTTTGAGCCGCCAGAATTCCTGGAGGCGCGCGCTGGGTGTCATCCCTCGCGTGTTGACAATGGATCTCCTGGAGCAAGGGCTGATGCTCCTCCTTCTCCTCCTTTCCCTCCTCCTGCACTGTCGACAGCCATTCTTCAGGCCCCGGGAAAGCGACTCCTTCCTTGGCCACTGCCGGACGTGTCTGTGTGCTGTCCCACTCAAAGGCTCACTGCTCTGCTGGCTCCCTGGCACGCCCATGTCCCTGGGCTGCTTGCCATTCCCTGGTGGGCACAGAGCCAAGCTCTGCATGGCCATGATCAGGGAACTGAGGGTGGTGGCGCTCATGGCAGAGGTGTGATTTTGTTCCTCCTCTTCCACAGCCTCCTCCTGGCACATGCCTTCCTCTTCAGCCATCACTGGGAGGGGCCCTGCTGCTGGTCCCTACAAAGGCGGGCTGCCATCTGCCTCCCTGCTCTGACTTTTCTTCCTTCCAGACATTCATCAAGGGCCTCAGAGCTGGGTGGACAGGGGGCAGCTGCAGAGGGCCCTGCTTCTATAGTGCCAGAGCACTCAGGGGACTGCTGACATCACAAACAGCCACTGTGACTGGGCCACGAGTGTGGCCCAATACATCGGGTTATGGTGGCCTGAAAAGCTCCCAGGAGAAGCAGGAGGGTCATGGAAGCTGAGGGACCCTTTCCAGAAGTGCGTCCCACATGTCATGCTGCTTGTACAAGAAAGGCTGTCCCTGGGGCACAGGGACCACCTGCCACCTCCCCTCAGGAGCCCTTGGCTCCAGCACTTTCCTCATCTCATACCTGGGGTTGCCTCAACATGGCCCTGGCAACAACATTCCAAGGACACAAAACCCCTCAGGTTTCCAGGAAGAAGGAAAAGCCTAACTGCTACCTTCAGTCTGAGGGTCCCCCTGATGCTGCTCTCTCCTTTACAGACAAACCTTAACACTGCTTTTTTGGTTTTGATCTCTAGGGATATTTTTAGTGCTCTTACACATTGTGGTTCCTGCAATCATTGTTTCACCACGGCTAAGGCAAAGTTAAAGCACAACTCACAGAGCTTCAGTCTTGCTCACACAAGTAACACAACATGGATTAGGCTACCGTTCCAACAACACAGAACAACTGGGAAAAGGGCTGTGGGGTAGCAGAGGACCTTTTTTGGATTGTAGTGACAGCAGTTCCTGAAGCATAGAGAGCAATGACAGAGCTGAGAGAGTCACGTGTGTGACTACAGTTGGCTCTGCTGACCAGTTAACACTGAGCTAAGAGAAAAAAGGCATATTTTGTCCTTCAGCATCCCAGTAAACTCATGTAATTATAAGGATTTGGTTAACCCTCCTAACTGGTAGCACACAGATGGTTTTGAAAAAGTCAGAAGAGACATTTGGTCAACTCTGGGATGACAAAGGGCAAAACCAAGGACAAAACCTTCAGAATTGAAGAGGAACAAGTCACAAATATCTGCTCCAAAATACAAGGCTTCAAAAATCAAGGACAAAGCACTGTTGGCAGCATCATGGTAACCCATGACAAGTGCATGAAAGAGGGCATTGGCTTCCAGTTCAGGTAGATGATGTGACTGGTACCACAAGAATGCAATAGGTACAAGGAGATGAACACAGAGAAATCCTCACTGGGAACAAAATCCACATGGATGACACTTTATGACCTCTACCTTTGCCATCCAGATGGCATCCACTGTTGTCCCTATCAATCAAGCACTTTGGTGTTGCGCTTTCTCAGCGTGCCTGTCTCCTCTGAATCACAGACTTTTTGCTTTTCCAGTGCTGCATTTTCATTTTCTGACTCCACAGAGAGGTCCTCTTGGCTTGTCTCTTCTACTTCACTGCAGGTCTCAGAGTGGAATCCAGCATTCTCTGCTATGACAGCAGGATCATCATCATCACAGCAACAGCAGCACTCCTCAGTGCTCTGGCTGGGAGGAAGGTCACTCTCCTCCTCTCTGATGAGAGTTACATCATCCTTTTTCTGCATTAAATCCTGACCACCCATTCCCATGGTGAGATCACTTAGCAGGGTTTCATCATAAGGATACTCCTCATCTTCCATGCCCTCCATTCTTTCTGCCAGCTCTTCTGGAGAGGGCTGGCTCAGGTCAGGGTAATCTACAAGGATTGTGTCCTGCTTGCGCTTGAAGCAATTATCATAGACAGGATAGGTCTCTTCTGGATAACCTTAGGAATAAAGGGATATGCAGCTTGGAGTATTACCAGCATTTAAAAGTAGTCCTGACCTCAGTGGTGGATGCAAAGTTGGCCAGGACAGTTGTTTTATTCTATTGCCAGTGCAAGTGTCAGCTCTTTAATGCCATGTACACGTGACAGTATTAAATCCATGGCAAGAATGTGCAAAGCATGTCTTCTTGGGAGATGAAAAAAAATTCACTTTTAGGGAGCCAGGATATCAACCCTGACTTTCAGGAGTGAAAGCTGAGCTTTGCTGGAAGTTATGGGGGCTAACAGGTAAAAATGGTGTATCTTAGATCTTTAAATGGAGCCTTCTTTTTTTCCTGCCTACAGATTGACTGATGCATGGTTTGAACACTTGCAATAAACAGAATTACTGAGAAAGTTGAAAAAACAGATACATCAATGACTTTGTGCATTTCATTTTAGAAATAACATTATAAACTTTATGAACAGAGCTCAGGGTCACTTTATGCTTTATGTGTTGGATCATTTTTGAAAGCTTTTTAAAAAGCAAGAAATTAAGTCTGCCTTTAAAATTATGATACAGAGCAGGTCAACTAATGTATCTTGAAAACACATTTATGTAGAAGGTAAACACCAAGGAATGGAAAGGACATTAAAATAAATAGCTTTGAAAAGACTTCCTGGAGTCGACTTTTATAACATTGGAGCTAACAAAGATGAAAAATCAAAAGTAAAAACTGTGATTTATCTAAAACATACTGATTCTGATTTCCAAGTGTTTTATGATTGTCATGAAATCTAGCCCAGCACAGAAAGGGAAAGATGTAAACCCAGAGCAGCCAAGCCCCAGCAGCAGATGGAGCATATGTGAATATTCATATGCCACTTTGGGCAGCAGATAGTGCAGTGTTTACACTATAAGAAATGTTGGATACCTCAAAATCTGGTTTTTTCTGTTATGGTTGGGGGAAAAAAAAGCCAAGCAACCTCTTAAAAAAAGTTTTGAACACTGGCTTCTGGAAAAAGAAGGATAAAGTTGAAAGGATCTGGAAGTGTAATCTTATTAGATCTTTATCTAATTTTTCTTGTAAGGGTAATGGTACGAAGGGCTCTCGCTTACCTTCCCAATCTGCCATGTAAGGAGCTTCCTCAGCTTCCTTCTCAGGGGAGATGTCATCTATGAATTTTCCTTCTTTCATAACTCTAGTAATTTCTCGGAGTTGTTGAAGTAACATTTTCTCCTGGTCTGTTGTAACATTTTGAGTCCTGCTAGAAGACATTAGACACCAGAATTTTGTCCACTGTTATTGCAAGCTATGAAAAGGGTTTGAACCCAACTGTTTGGTTCATGCCAGCAGCAGTCTGGAGAAACCTACTGAGGAGTGTGATCCCTCCTCGACATCTGCATGTGCTCTGCACTTCAGCTGAGTATACTCTATTCCTTTATCCAAAAAGCAATTTAAACAACTAGAGGAAGGAAGGTAAAGCCAATGTGAGAGCAAGATGAAAATGACAAACAAAAAAGAGTTATGGTACAAAAGACACTAGAGAAATTTCTTGCCTTTAAAAGTGTGTTAGGTAAGAATTAGGGGGCAGTTCCTTGTATGAAGTATTATAAGGAAATGAAATTCTGAACCTATGCTACATGTGTAGCTTGTGAGGCTGCTCAAAATTTCTCACAGTCATTAGTCTCAAGACTAAAATCTCTCCTTGTGACCACTGAATTTGCAAGTTGGACAGATCATCCTGTCATTATAGACAGTCAACCATGCAGCCTGTTGGGGAGGTGGAGGGGAGAAACAGGAAGGAAGGTTTAAGAATGGAAAGAAGGTGTTACATTAAACTGTAACTTGCCCTTTAGAACTGGAGAGGACTGCAATTTTTTAAATCAGATTGAAAGCAAATTTTTGACTGCTGGATCCAGTAATTTTTACTGCTTAGGTAATACAACTACTGCTGTAACAAAAATGCTTCCAACATATAAGATCATGTAGTCATTACACATTATTTTCTTTGGAAAGAAAAAAGGCTTCTAAAAATCTTATGGACAAAAAAGGCAGTATTTGGAGGGGGGTGCTCTGCAGTCTGATAACTCAGTAGGCTTGAATGAGAAAGCCACTGGCTGCCACCAGGGGTGAAAATGGTTCTGACCAATGGTGCCTGTTTCATCTTGAGTTTAAAGTTATGATATTTTGAGGTTTAAGTCATTCTTGAGCAGTAATGCCAGTTCAAGCCACTCTTCTGGCACCCTTTTGCATCTGTGTTTCAGTCAGGAGCTGTTTCCCCCAGTTACTTGAAAGGGTGGCACAGAATGCTGAACTGTAGGTGTATGTGAGGTCAGACAGAAGATCTCTGGTGATCTCTGGTCTGGAGAGCAGACACACAATCTCCAAGAGTAGATTCACTGAGTAGGCTGCTCAGTGCATCGTAGGGAAGAGATGGGAAGAGAGGAGCTGGAAGCAGATTTTGGCTTTAGGTGGTTTGTATCTATGTAAACCTCACTTTAGTTATCAGAATTCTAATAAATTTGCAATGTCCCTCAGGTTTTCCTCTTACCAGCTGCTGGGACTGGAGCAGCACTCCAGGAGGTACTCTGTGCCACTCTGCCTAAACGGGAATGATGGTGACGCAATGGCTACTCCACTAAGGGCAGCAAAGTCACACTGGTTTAAAGTAAGATTAGCATCCTACTGCTGGTTGGTGTGATGGTGGTGGAAGTGCTGATCTCCAGCCTGGGCTGGATTTTGTGACCAGCTGCAAGCACAAGCGTCTGTAACTGAACTTAGCTCAGGAGCTGGTTTGATTAGCACCTACCTAGATTAAACTACTTCACTGAGATCACAAGGCAAAACATCACTTCTCCACCAAGGAGCACTTTGCTCCACAGTTTGAAAAGTTGATATCCCAACACTGTACACAGGCTGCACTGATCTTCCCCAAGCTGTCGTGGCAATCTGTTCCACAAACAACTGAAGGTGTGAGGCAGCATCTTCCCAAAAGCCTGGCTTATGCAGATGTGGAATCTCAGATGTGAATTAAGAGGCCCACCAAAAGGAATGGTTTCATCAGCCTTTGACCAAAGCTGTGACAGAATTGCTGAACTAATCCTCCTTTTACCCAATTTGAATATATATCACTTGGCAGAAGACAGAGAGGCCCAACTCTTTAGCACATTGGGCAGACAAGCTAGCTCAGATAACAGGATCAACCAATGCAGCTGCATCACTGTGGCATTTCATACAGGAAAATTCCTAACATGTGGGATACCCTCAATAGAAAACACTCCTGTCTTATTGCAACACAAGGGCTCTGTATTTTAGAGTATTCCTTCTCCAAATACCTGTATTCCTACCTCCAATTTGCCTGTTTAAAAGGCAAATTTCCCTGCAGAGAAGGAGAAACCCATGTGTTATTTTGACTTAATTTAAGGCCTCTGGGAAGACTTACTGTGGGTTGCTGGCAGTGTGTAAGACATCTGGCTGGCTGCACATGGGAGATTTATCTGGATATAATGCACTTAGGAATACTAAGAAGATAACAGATGCAGAAGGTTTACAGTGCAAGAAAAGGTCATTATTTTTGCTGTCTGTGTTTGTAGCTCCAACACAAGTATTATTTTTCCTAATGGCAATACTTACACTTTGTAGAGTCCCAAAGAGCTCACTAACAGGTAAAGTAAAGGTTTCTTATTCTTAGCCTGAGATTAGAACATTTCCTAAATGTTTCCTAAATGTTTCCTAAAGAGCCATCATGACTGCAGGGAAAATAATCTAAATAATTTAAAATGGCATCTCAGACATGTTAACTGGTATTTTTTTAGTTGCATGATCTAAAGTAATCGCTATCAAAATGCAGCTACATCCGCAAAAATGGCACCCCACAGAGCCTCTCACTCTTCCATATCACCTTTGCTCACTTTATGATAAAAAAGGAAGTTTTTACAGTTGACAATCTGGTAAACAGGACTTTAAAAACAGTTAGGTGATCTGCATTATTTCTACCTGTTACCTATCTACCAGAAATAGAAATTTTTGGTTATATTGTTGAGGACCTGGCCAGGTGGTTCTTTCTTCCTCTTGCTTTCTTTGTCTTGCTTCTCATTCTTCTTACAAAATGCTAGGCCTTATTAAAAGTACCTGCACTAGTACTTTTTGGCAGTTTTGTATTTCTGGAAGGTTGTTTCTTTATTTAATGGTGTAGCAATTCCAACTGGTATGCTGGTTTGGAAGGAGGCCTCCTCAGTTGGTTTGGAGGTTGGTTTTCAAACCTCATTAAAAAAAAAAAAAAAAAAGCAAATCCATGTTTCTGGTTGCTGCTTTCTACAACACAGGCTGGCTGTTGCTTTGCTGGCTGGTGTAAAGGGCCATGGTCTCACCTGGTCTTCAGCATTAGTTTAAACTTGATAGCACTTATATCTGTCTCTGACTTTTCTGTGTAAGAGTTTCTGTTTAACTGCAGATCAATAAATAAAGCTCAAGTAATTTTTACTCTCTTACTCTTTCTTTTTTATTTAAATCTATCAATATCCAGATTGAATAAGCCTAGCTTAGTATTCTAACTTCACTTTCAAACCATAGGTTTTATTTTAATAGATTTATCCAGTATTAGTGAAATTAATGAGTAGATTAAGAAAGCTTCAAAGTGTTTGAAAACAGCTATTTGCTCCATTTGCACCACGAGGTGCCTTTCCCCTCCTCTTCAGAGAGGCAACATACAAAATTCTTTATTAGATTCAGATTCTCATTTCCCCTGAGACCTTTAGACCCATCTATATAAATAGTCTGGTTGAACAAAGAAGGGAAGTTCTACTAAATAGAGGCTTTGAGCCAATAACACAGAGTAGAACAAACACTGGATCAGACCCTAAACCAATTTTCTCAGTAAAAAAAAAATATTCCATCCTGGGTATCAGCACAATATCTGGGCAGCTCATAAGCCTATTTCTGTCAGCTCAGAGGTACGTGTAGAGCATTGTGTCAGCTCTCCAGAACAGAGATGAGTTAAAGCAGGATCCTTCTGTTCCAATAACAAAACCAGGGCAGTTTAGGGGCTCTCCCACTGGGACCTGGCTGAACATGGCCAAGCTGGACACCTTGTCTGCCCAAGATAGTACAGGGCACAGCACAAAGTGGGGAAAAAACTGCACTCAAAGAGAAGTGGTTTGAGACATAAATGAACAAAATGTGCATGTTCAGCACAGAACATTCCTTCAGGATGGGTTAAAACATGCCTTGGCTGATCCAGACAAAGTTAATATGATATACAACCAGAACAGCTCTCATTTTTTTTTTTTGCTAACCTTACCTTCATATTTATGGTGCTTCAGTTTTCACACTGCAGTTATGCAGCATCCTATTGATATGTTCTTTTTATTCCTTATGAAAAACATAGACTTGTTTCCAGTGTTTCTTTGTAATGTAGACTGGTGATATCAGATTTGTAGCAAACATTAATAAACATAATAAAATTTTGAATGCTGATTTTAGAACCCTTTGTCTTTTTATATTTAGGAGCAAATGCATGAATTTAGAGTGGAACTAAGTTATGTAATCAGATTATTATACAATTCTGCCTTAAAGAAAAATGTTATGGTTATTCTAACAGGAATTTACATAGATTATAACAGCATTTCAATTTAGGAAAATAATCCATAGAACTGGAAAAGAACAATTCAGGATATTATTTTGGTCACATAAAACAGGCTGTTTTACGTACTTTAAATGTAGATGATTCATCTTTTGTTTACATATACCTGTCATTTTCTTACAAATAACACTATACAAAGGGGAGAGATAGTGATAATTGCATTTCTGGTTAAGGAAAATTAAGTTGGAAAAAATTATTTATTTTATATATAGCTACTGAAAAGAGAAAAACTGCAGAACAAGAATTGGGATGTGTAAAATCTAACTTCTATAATTTAAAGAAGCAATAAAAATGCTATTTTTATATATAAAATGCAAGAAAGTTTAATTTCTAATCAGAGTAGAACCTCTCCTTAAAATACTCTAATTTGAAACACACCTGTCATACATAGGTCCTACTCTGTTGATTAATTTTTCCATCGCTTCTTCTGTCTCTCTCAGTCTTTCCTGGAGCTGAGTGAGCTCATAGTCAGCTGCAAAACAAAACAAAACAAAAAATCCCAAGATCTGTCAGTACTGAGCCTTGAAAATGTATCCCTGTTCCATTAACACAGGTAGCAAATGCTGTACCAAACCAAACTGGCTGTGAGGAAACTAAAACATCCAGCTTAGAGAGTTCTACCTACTTTTCCTGGCCTGAGAAGGTGAAGACTATTACCAATATTACATCCATTTAATCAGCACAAAGGCACAATGGAACTTCAACATAGTAGGAATGGAGAAATCCATCAACAAACATCCTGCTTTTAGAAAGATCTCGATTCTGCACAGATTGTAATTACTTAATGCAACTCTGATGTAATTATTTTGCATGTCTGAGACTTTAAAAAAGGGGAAGGGGAATTGGAAAAGAGACAGGAAGTTACTTCTCCAAGTCACAATGTAAGCGGTGACTCAGTCTTCAAGCTCCTAATCCAGTGACCTGACCCCTGCTCTGGTACAGCTTGCCATTAAAGCTTTAATAATATAAATGAAGAGCTCTAGAAAAAGCAGAATCATTTCCCCTGTTAGTTCTCTGGGATGTAAGGATGGCAACCTCACTGCAAAGTTACTTTCTCTCACTGAACACCAGGAAAAAAAATACAATTACCATTGCTGATATATTACCCAAAATTGCCAGGCACAATGCAGTATGAGTGCACTGGAGACACAATCTACAGCACTGAGTACATTAGGTATTCCTAATATGTGCATTAATGTCAAGAAAATTACAGCTATGTTAAGAGAATTACCTTCCTGCTACCACTTTCTATAAAAAAGGCTTCTATAAAGCCCTAAGTACTTTCCTTCCCTATTACAGTTTAGCCAGCTAAACACAACACATTTAAATACTGTAATGGTAACTACTCTTCCCAATCCTCAATAGTAAGCTTGTTAATTTATCTAATAAGTGCCTACAAATACTTGAATCTATCTCAGCAATGTTTAGGTAAAATCAAATTAACATTTTAGAATATTATTTGCTCTCTTTATTGCATGCATGAAAACTCTGCATTGCAAAAAAAAAAGGGACAAATTAGGGAAGTGCCTGATGATGGCTAAGAATTCTCCAATTAAAAAAAATTAAACTAGCTTTCATGGTATCTTTCTATGCTCTTACTAGACTATTAGGGATTATACAATAATTATAACTGGACATCCTATTATCCCTTTTTAATCATTAGTGACACAGCTTTTCAGCAAATCCATGCAGTTAATTCAGCAAACCTCATGAAAAGCCATTCCTTCCAAAGGGGCTTGGGATCAGGCTGCTATCACAGCCTCATGGGCTAAATGAGATTAGAAAGTGACAGTGCAGTAATTCTTTTTAACTCTTGCTCATTCCAACACAGAAGATTCTGGCTTGGTTTTTGGTTTTGGGTTTTTTTTGGGGTGGGAGGGAGCATCAGCTTTACAGTGCACCCAGAACTTGAAGAAGCCTGTTAGAGCATTACAGAGTCAACAGCTACACAGGTACAACCCAGAGCCATACTCACTGATTTTCCTCTTCATGTTCCCAGGGGTAGCAGTGGGGCATTTCCGCTCTGCAGGAGTAGTTCTTCCCTTGGAAGCCAGCTGTTGAGGACAAGAACATGGCCCTTCCGTGAGTTACAGCCACAGTAACAGATAAACCCCAGAGACAATAGAAAAAAATACAGAAGGCAGCCATGGAAAAGCACACCCAGCAGCAAAACCATGAAAGATGCCTGGAAGATTTTGCCAGCTGAAAACTCCTATCAGAGTCCTGGAACAAATAACAACATGTAACATATACACATATAACAAGGAAAAGAATACTATGTGTATATTCAAAATTAATCTAACATTAGTCTAGACATGCACTTTTCCACAGGAAAAAAAAAAAATTAAAAAATTTTTAAAGGTCAGAGGCCAATGCAGAGAGAATTCCTTCCCTGCATTCTTAGCTATAGTCTTTGCAACAGCAAAACCCACAGGATACTCCAGTCTTTTGACCACCAGGCAAAGGTCCAGCATAAGCATGTTTTTGAGCACACATGAACTGGAACAAGGCACTGAAATGAGAGTCAAAATTTTTTTTTTCCAAGTTTTTCCCTGACTTTCCAATTTATGTTGGTTCTTACCTTAAATAAAATGTACAGAATATATAAGAAGATGCCAAATCCATATATAGGGATAATCTGTCCCACGAGACCTCTTCCACTGCCACCAGTGCTTCCACTACCACCTCCACCTGCCTTGGCTTTGGCCACTGCTTCAGTAAGGTGAGACCTCGGAAAATGAGGGACAGCTCGGCCGTCGGGAGTGGCGTGGGAATGCATCCTCGGAGGAAAACGACTGAGCTTCCCTGCAAAAAACCACACAATGGTCATTTCCCTTCTATTACCTTCCACCTTTTCACATGTAGCATAAACCTGCAGCAGGTGCAAGTGACCTATTTTCTCTGCTTGTAAATTCAGCACCACTGATGAGTAAATAATGTGTTGGACTAAGTCTGTGAACTCAGTCCTCAGTCTCTTGTGATGTGCAGTGCTAGGAGTTAGGTTTTACTTAAAGCCATTTACTTCTAGCAATTTCATACAATTAGGAGTAGAATCACACAATTAAAATATCTTGATTTTATGCAGAGAAAGAGCTGGCAGGGTAATTAACAAAACATGGATTTTAATAGTTATATTCTTGTCTGAATACCCAACAGATCAGTATCTCCAGTGGGATGAAATGCCAGATTTCTACTTGTTTCTTTCCTCAAGATCCCCCAACAACATACCAGTTTTCCACTGTGAGCCTGATCTTTCAATATTGCCCAAAGGCATTTAATGTATAAATGTATTAATGTCCAAACAATTATCCACCTAACAGCCTGACACACAACTGCAGAATCTGCCCAGCAGATTTTTTTGTTATTGCCGTAAGAAATAGTATTTTACCTGATTTCACCAAGAGAGTAATGAAAGATTAAGAAAAGCGATGTTACCTCAAGCTGTTCTCCTTAAAAAGATCTAAGGTAAAGCAGTGTGAGAAAGGAGATTGAATATAGCCTGGGACATATTATCTTTGGCATTTTAGAGGGAAAAAAAATTAGAGTTTTCTAACCTTTCTAGGCAGAGCTAATTTAACACAAGAAAGGAGAGAAGCATAAATGGATGTACAGATGCCACAGTAAGAACTGCAGAAAGCCTGAAATGGTGCTGCAAATGATTTCACACAACTGAAGGGCACAAGAACCTCGATAAATTGAAGCTCATGCATTATTCTATTTTCTTGCTGCCATCAATTCAACAATTTTGCTGTGAAATTCACTATTTTACTCCTCTGTGTAGCTGACATCCTGCTTTCTATCTCCATATCCAGCTTGGATGTGCACTTGCACTCCCTTCCACTGACCAGTGTTGAGCTGAGTTACTCAGCTACTCTGCCATGGAACCTGGCTGTGAGAGGTGCTGGATGGAAGCACCAGAGATGGGGATTGCCAGGCTGGGCTGCAGCTCACTCCCTGATCCCAGCTGGAAAACTCCCCCTCCCTGGCACACATGGCCTGGATGCTGTTGCCTGGTGCTGGGACAGGCTGCTTGTGCTCGCAGAAAGAAAATGAAAAGCAGGTTTAAAGCGGCACTGCAAAGAACTGACTTCACTTTTGCGAGTATGCAGCTTTTATGAGCCACAAGAGAAAAATTTAATTAACATTTGGTCTTGCTAGGAAACACCATCATAGGCAGCTAAATTCCTGAGCACAGAAAATTGCAGTAAACACTTACTAGGAAGTGATATCAATAATTCATGAAGTTCCACTATTAAAAACACATTTTTCTTGTAGATGATAGCACACATTCCAAGAGTTCTTTAGTGTAACTGCCAGGCTACACTACCACTGACCAAACCCACTCTCAGATTAGCTTAATTTTGAGGAAGCTGTTATCATGCACTTAAATTTCAGTGAATTATTCAAAGTCTGTGGTGGAAAGCATAGCATCTTATTTACAAGAAAAGTCCTCCTGCTCCAGCAGCAATGCCCTGTAGCAGTAGGTCACTGTGGAAACGAGTGTGATGTTGTGCAGAGAGCAGCATCACTCAGGTGGGGATGAAGCAGCAGAGTAGGTAAACATTTATAAAACATCTTATGCAAATATTATTTTTTAAAAAAGGAGATATTGAGAAAACAGAAAATAATTGACAAAGGTGAAAATGTATTTAAAGTGAATAGTTTTCTAAATTATCCACAAGGCCTCATTTGTGCTTTAAAAGATTCAATTCAATTAAATATAATCCGGCCAAGAGGACAAACCATAGACATTTCATTATCAAGATAATTTTAAAGGCGAATTTCATGGCTCAAATTTGTAAACCTACCCTGTTGATTTTACACTTCTATAATTATTTCCTTAATAAACAAATACTATCTTCCATAGCTTTTTATTGTGAAGAATCCATGCAAATTACACAGGAAATGGAGGGCACAGGCAACTTGAAAGCAACACACGCACAAAACTCTTAAAAGCACAGTATACAAATGGAAAATGTAACAATTGGGTGCCACTGTGACTTGAATAAGATTCCACACTTCCAGGGATGAAACAAACCACTTTCAAATGGAGACAATAACACACTTTCCATCAAGAAAATCAAGTGACACTTGATGAGCACAGAAGGCCATGTGTTGGGTCCTTGTTTGCTGCTGTATTCAGCTGCAGTGGGGATGGTGTGGACTTTAACGGGACATTTTCCTGTTGTGGGAATGCTGTGGGAAGAGCACTAACTCCCCTTAGCTTTGAAGGGTCCACTCTGCTTTTGAAATGTTTCTCAGCTCCCCTGTGACAGCCTGCGGGTTGCCTTCATGCAGGCTGATTGCTCTGTGTGACAATTCCCACAAACCACACCCTACCCGGCTTTGCAATCTTTTTACCTGGGTTTTATCCTATACATTTAATAATTCTGTCAGTTTTTATGTTTCAAATCAACTTTACAAACCCGCTGCAAGGTAAGCAGAACATGTTTTGTTTAACCCAGTCCCTTCAATAGCTTGAAGTCGAAAAATGAAATTATGCCCCAGCATACATTTGTGTTGTTTAAAAGGCTGTAGTTTCTGAATGTAGATGAAGTCCCTAATGGTATTTTCACATGAGAATGACTGTGGTGTTTTTAATCTTGTAATAATATTAACACCTAACTGAAAAGAAGCAAATCTTAAAAACTGTATTTACAACACAGCGAATACAACAACAAACCAGATGATAACACTCAGACCATTCAGGCATCTCTTTTCCAGGAAAGCTGTTATGTGTTCTATTTAATGGGTTTTAGGAATTGCTACTGAGCCCAACTCAACTATTTATAAAGTTATTTAGACTTATGTTACTGTACTATTCAGCTACTCTTAGTCTAGGCAATATGTCTCTCTGCCACATCATTTTCTTCAGGACACCAGCAGGCAACTGATGTGTGCATTGCACAAATTCAGGCTGGGCAGAGGGGGTTACCTGAACTGTCATGTATTTTTTTTGTAAAGGTGATGCCACTTGATTGTCTGTAAGAAAGCAGAGCCAGCTGCTGTCATGGAGTTATAAGGTTTATCTGAAACTACCAATTTAGAGAGCAGCTTTACAAAATTCATGGCATATACTTATGAACACTAGACTTAAAATGTACTTTTAAAACTGCTAGTAGGTCCCCTTTTTGCTCCTCTTTAACAAAAGATAAACATTCTAATGCCTGTCTATAATGTCAGCTAGGAATGTGATACAAACACAGTAAGTTCTTTAAGCAAGCTTTGTCGTATACATGAAATTATTACTGTAAAAAAATAACAACATTCCCGTCTGGAAGATAAAATTAACTTCTATAGTTCAATGCTCACCGATTTCTGAAAGAGACCTTTGAAAATGACTTTATTAAGAAAGTTCCATTGCCATGCCTACAGCCTGTTTTGATAAAAAGCCTTCTGGTAACATTGAATTTAACAAAAGGTACTAAACTTTAAGCATGTTTTATTCAGAGACATTTTGCCCCCAAGACTACCATAAGCACTTTATTAACTTCAAGAATGACATGATTACCTCAAGCCCTCAAACTCCTGCCAGGTAACTGCAGTTATCAGTGCACTGAAGAGGACAACTAATGACAGAGATATGAATTGAGCGATTCAATCAAGATTTATTCTTCCAATAAAAAAGTAACTTCAGGTGAAATACAGTTTGCTCTACAGAGCAAGTGTAATGAAATCCTTGCTATCAAGTAGAAAATACAGACCATAAACTCTCATCTGAAACTGAGCAGCTGAGGTGAGTTATTACATCCTCAGCCAAAGACATGTGCTGGGGTACAAGAGGGGAGCAATGCTGGGTCACCTCTGGCTTGTGGGCAGCCCTGCACGAAGCTCCCTCTCTGCCAATACTGGGGGTTATGATACCTGCTACTCTTGGGAAGTGCCTTGGGGAAAAATAACCTCTACGGTAAAAGGCCATAAAAAGGATGGGAGATGCTTGTATGAACCCATTCCCCGACACCTTAAAGAGAGCACATGCAGAGCGGGAGGGCAGGCACGAAGGACACAGCTTGGGGGGCTGCACAGACAGGACCTGAGCCTAAAATAAGCCATCACAGCATTATGAGAATCTGGTGCATGAAAACGAAAGTTTAAAACGCTGGAAACTGAACAATGAAGACGATTCAAATGAATTTTTATTTCATATGTAACAACAGAAGCATTCCAAACACAGAGTAACAAAATAATGAAGGGATGTATTGCAATGAAAAAAAAAACAAAACCAACGAAATAAATGGAATGAATACGCCACTTTTCGGGAAGCTTTAATACCCGGCACATAAATAAAATGATACTTTGAAGTTTTTAAGCTGTTTTTTTAAAAAAGGAGACAGTAGATCAGAGCGGTAAGCACGAATGAATCCTCCGGCATCCCTCCACACGTCGCTAAGGGATGAGCACGGAGGAGAGACGCGCCAAGGGGGAACTACGCTGTGTTTCCATACCGGGCGGCGGAGCTCCCTGCGCGCAGCCCCGGCCCCTCACGGACCCCCGNCCGAGGGGAGCGCGGGGAGGGGGCGCCGCAGGGAGAGGCCTTGGGAAGGCGCTGGGATGGCGGAGCCTGGGCTGGGCCGCGGCCTCGGGAACAGCCCTGGGCCAGGACAGGCCGAACAGCGACACAGACACTCCCTCCTTCTCCTTCCAGTGCCTGAAGGGAGCCTGCGAGACAGATGGAGAGGGTTTTTTACATGTAGTGACAGGAGCCAGGGGGAATGGCTTCAAACTGGAAGACAGTAGATTTACCTTGGATATGAAAGATGTGTGCAAAACCAGAATTGTCTTTGCAAAGAGTTTGGTGGGTGAAAGGTGTGGGTGTTAACATCTTTGAAATGGGTCTCAATGTCA